CTTCTTTGCCGTCTTCCGTGTGTCCATGGCGTAAAATGAGGGCGTGGGGGAAGCGGAGACTTGAATATATAGGGGCGTGTTATTCTAATGACGATCGTTTTCAGCCGCGGCATTTATCAAGGGCAGGTATTGCGTACACCTGGATTTCAAAGGTACGCACAGCTTCATAAATCAGCCGGTGAGAGGAGTGTAAGCATAATCTAACGCCAACATATACGCCCGTTTCTACGCAAGAATGATAAATGAGGGCCAATGTGAGGTTCAAGCTGCTTGAGGTCATCAGCTGCATATTTTCATCTTTAACAAAGTCTGAAGTTTCTCTCAGCGGCCGAGCAGAGATCAGACTAACGCTCGTCTTCTCTCATTAGCACAATAACACTCTGAACAATGAATGTCATGAGAGGTCCGAATGAACGCCGGAGGAACTTCACACACTCGTGTTCCTGTGGGAGATCTTCCATGAACTGCAGATAGAAGCAATTACAGGCCATCAGAGGTCAATCTCTCTGCCGGACCACCGGGGTAACTGGCCTTTTAGTGAACGGTGAACGCTTTCCTTCCTGAAAGTGTGAAGAACACGAGGAGTTAATTAGCAGAGAGACAGACAGACAGACAGACAGACAGACAGACAGACAGATAGATAGATAGATAGATAGATAGATAGATAGATAGATAGATAGATAGATAGATAGATAGATAGATAGATAGATAGATAGATAGATAGATAGTGTAACAGGCTTCAGTCTCGGGTCTAGTCTTCACTGTGACGAGAGAGAGACTTAATTGACCCTTCAGGGAGCTTGATTGACAGGTGATCTGACCAATCATACTTCGTGTGTGTGTGTGTGTGTGTGTGTGTGTGACGAAGAAGAGAGAATGATCAGCAGACACATGCCAGAACATCACTGCCACATCTCACTAACAACAGTCATGTGTGTGTGTGTGTGTGTGTGTGTGTGTGTGTGATCATCTGATCATTCAACACACTGAACAGAGTCTGATCTGAGGTCAGAGAGCGGCGTCACACACACGTCTGTTCTCATGCGCAACTTTAAAGACCTCAGATCTTTATAATCCTTAAAAAGGGTTTGCATTATGTTAATTATTAAAACTAACACAATTCTATACTCGTCTTGTGATAAAAAATAAAACTGCAATTTCAGTTCCTCATGTAGCAGGTGTCGAAAGTTTTAGTTTCCCTGGAAACTATGAAACAGCTCATGATCTTTTTTTTAGATTTACGTACACTACAGTATATCACTGACGAATATGCATCACATTAAGCTTATTGCTTTGTTTAAAACGGTTCAATCCATATAATATAATAGATGGGGATTTTAAATGCAACGCATATAAATCTTAAATTTAGGCCTTCATATTTTTATGAGCACCAGTAAAAGTGATATTCAGAGCTCATCAAGCACCATAACTGTGTTTAAAGTGTAATGATAAAAGAGTAGGATGTGTGTGTGTGTGAGCAGACGTTATGAAGTGATCTGCACATCATGACCAGCAGGAGAAAGATTTCCTGATGTCCAGTTCCTGAGCGATCATCATCAATGCACACATAAAGCACAGCTAGAAGAGAGAGACAGTGACACACAGTTACACAACATCACACACACACACACACACACTAATGCACTGGTGTCTGCAGATGCTGGACATCACAGTTCATAATCTACAGATGAGAGACTCAACACTTTATTTTGATGCTAATTGAAGTAATTTAGCAAGTGCATATCAACTTATTCTGTAACACTTTACAATACGGTTCATTAGTTAACATTAGTTAGCATGAGCTACAAATGAACTGCACTTCTACAGCATTTATTAATCTTTGTTAATGTTCATTTCAACATTTTAATACATTATTAAAATCTTGTTAACATTAATTAATGCAATGTGAACTAACATGAACACACAATGAACAGCTTTATGTTTATTACATTAACAAAGATTAAAAAATACAGTAACAAATGTATTGCTTAGTTATACATTATGTTAATGAACCTCATTGTAAAGTGTTTCCACTTATTCTACTCAACTGGGTTCTCATGTGTAAAACTTTCCATAGATTTCATCCTAAAAGTGTGTGTACTTGTGGTCTAGTGTCTGTATGGTGCACACATTTCTACTCCTAGTTAATTATTTTTATAAATGCGTGTAAAATTGCCATGTGTCTGATCCTGAGCTCACGTGTGTGTGTGCGTGTGTGTGTGTGTGTGTGTGTGTGTGTGTGTGTGTGTGTGTGTGTGTGTGTGAACACAGCGCTTCACTCTGAAACACGCAGAGCATTGATTTATCTGATAATCGCACTAATCCATATTGTGATTTGGGGTTTATTTGGTCTTGTTTCGCAGTAATGCGGCTGACCTGAGCTTGACTTCAGTCACACACACACACACACACACACACACACACACACACACACTCTTTCTGCTCGTATCGATCTGCAGTGTGTTTGCTGGCCGAAGGAATGCATCTCTGGTCTCTTGTAGTGAAACCTGACGCGAGAGCTCTGGTAAATACGCAGATCCTTCGCTCCATTTCTCACAGTGATCAGTGACTCAAGATGCTTTAGTTTCGTTATCATATAATGGACAGAGAGAAGGAGCGAGAGGATCGCGTGAAGCTTTTACTAAGTGAACAGGCCTTTTGAAGCCATTATGCTTTAGTCATGTTCTGAGATGCAGTTTTTCTTCTTCAGAAAATTGGATTCAAAATGTAAAATAACCAGATATTTATTAGTAGATGCCGCCAACTGAAACAAGTCATTTTTTAAGCATTTGCTGCTGCATGCATACAGTTTCACATGAAATACAGTAGGCCTGCTATTCCAAACGTGGACGGGAAAATACGGCTACCTAAAAAAACAAAGGTTCATTAAAGCTTCTTTAATGATATCATTAGTTCAATAGAAGGTTACAGTATCTTAAAGAACCCTTTATGATTAGATGAATCTTCTTTAAACTTCCTGCACTATTAAGGCAAACGGCTTTGAATGGTTCTTTAAATGCAGCAGCAACAACAGCAAAACCATAAATGGATTGTTCTGATGGGTTTAGACTAGCCTGACTTCGTCTAGTCAGATGTGAGTCTGATAGGGCTAAAAAAAAAAAAAAGAGTCTGATAGGGCTTTGATTATGAGGCGTGTCTTAATCGAACCAGGAAAAAAACAACTCTGCACTCAGTTGGATAGACCTACAACCAATCAGAGCAACGCAGTAAGTGACGCATGTTGAGCTACGCATAGTTGTCAACAGAACTCAACTGCACACACGCTGGAAGAAGTAAAATAACGAGTGTTGCTTCTTTTACTTGGTCCTCTATGAGTGCGACCAAAGGAGAAACCACAACGACCACAGGGCTTTCATTGCGTCCCATCTTCTTAGCGACCATCGGAGGCAGCTGATAAATTAAACTTTTGCCGAATCCCATAGGAAGGACGGCAAACACATCTTTCCGATCGACAAATGCCTTGATTGCAGTTCTCTGTTCGTCTTTTAAAATGAATGCGCTGTCGATTTCTTTTACAACAGACGCGATAGCAGAATCTCTACATCTCAGTTCTCCAGCTGTAGTCATCTCTGAGGGAAACCAGTTCAACCCAAGTGCTCTTTGATAACGTGATGATTACGTAACTGCAGATCATCTGTCCATCATCGTATAAAGCCCGCCCTGGCAATTTGATTGGCCCGACGATTTCTGAACCGATCATAATTACTCCTCAATGGATCGAGTCCAGACCGAACTTCCCGACCAAAAAATGTGGCAAAAAAAAAAATCAATGCTAAATGCAACTAAAGATATTCAACAAAATTAAGTAGTGAAGAAAAATTTAGAATTAAAGGGGGACCCCTACCCCCCCCCCCCCCCCCAAAAGAAAAATACACATTAAATATATATATATATACAGTAGCTATATTAAATACACTTGCAACAAGGATAAGCTGCAGTTTTGTGCCATTAAATATTGTCTGTCAAAAGCATGAAAAACCTTCAGTAAAAAGCAAACATATCCAGCTAACAAAAATATGTTATTTACTAACATTCATATTTATTTTCTATAAAAACGTTATTTCTAAAATTTCTCTGAATGTTCAAAATGTGAAATATTTTTTATATAAAAAAGTTTTTTCTCAATTATGAGAACGTTAAGGGAACATTCCCATGTTATCATTTATTGGCAAACAATGGAACGTTTATTCTGAAATATTTTAGTTGCGCATTCATCTACCGTTTGTAAATGTTGTTTCAGAATGTTCAGGGAAAATTCAAAAGTAACGTTCCATTGTTTTAGATTGACAATGTTGAACGATGAGAGCATTATTATGGACCAGATGAACGAACGTTCTATTAACGTTACTGGAAGAACATTTGTTTGCCAGAACGTTAGGGTAAAGTTCTAAAGACGTTCCATATGTTGACTGGTAAGTAAATCACCTCTGCCAATGTTTAAGCATTTAGAAATATTTTATTACGCAGTTCATGGTAATATTGAATATATTTAAAATATGATTCTAAGGACGTGTTTATTTTGAGAGACATCATGAGAAACAGCATATTTGGGTGTGAATCGCGTCCTGAGTCCTGAAAAAAAAACAGTTGAAAAACAATATATTTCTCATTTAGGCCTACATAGCTAATCGTTTTTGTAATGGGTTCTAATCTTGTTCTTCATTGAAAATAAAAAGGGGTTCGGCTGTTCATACAATCAAGTGGTAGCGTATTTTATACAATAAATCTAGTGGTAGCGTATTTTGAAAAATTCTTCTTCACAACAGTCAATGCAGATGATGCATGTGCTCACGAGAGAGAGAGAGAGAGAGAGAGAGAGAGAGAGAGAGAGAGAGAGAGAGAGAGAGACTGAAGACTCGGTGAATCAGCGTTTGGCTGCGCGTCACGCACGCGTCGCGTTCACTGAGACAGAAGCGTTGAGATGTGTTTGTAATATCCGGGTTGAGAGAGAGAGAGAGAGAGCGAGAGCGAGAGAGAGGGAGAGGGAGGGAGTGTGTCTCAGATTCCCACAGAAACACGCTGGAGAGAGACGCGCTCCTCGGGAATATGGCACTGGGACGATGGGAACGGGTTCCAGCTCCTCCGTCATGATCTAGATCGGGATTGTTCCCGCAGCGCGATGGAAAAGACGCTGGCGGCTCGGACGGGCTCGGGCTCGGCCTCGCTCGGGTTCGGCAGGACAGAGGGAGTGCTGAGCAAATACACCAACCTCATCCAGGGCTGGCAGAACAGGTACCGAACACAAGCCGAACCCGAACACATGGTCATGCATGCTGAAGTTTACACTGACTGACCTCCATTCATGACATCACTGTGTCATATCATATTACCACAATACACAGCCTACGTGGCAGTGACTGTTCTTTAGGTCTAAATATGATTTTTATGATTTTTGTTTATTATTATGATTTTGTATTTTTTTTGTTAGTTCAGGTCATTAATAGTTCACAGCTTTCAATAGTTCAGTGATCAAATAAGCAATTCTACTCACTTACTGTATAAATACACACACACTTACACACGTTTGCTTTATATCTAAATGGGGACTCTCCATAGACGTAATGGTTTTTATACTGTACAAACTGTATATTCTCTCCCCTTACACTAACATACACACACACACACACACACACACGCGCACACACACACACACACACACGCACACACACACACACACACACACACACACACACACACACACACACACACACACACACACACACACACACACACACACACACACACACACACACACACACACACACACACACACACACTAACCCTACCGCTAAACCCACACACACACACATACACACGTTTGCTTAGCTATATCTAAATGGGGACTCTCCATAGACTTAATTGTTTTTATACTGTACAAACTGTATCTCTCCCCTAAACCTACACACACACACACACACACACTAACCTGACCGCTAAACCTACACACACACACACACACACACACACACACACACACACACACACACACACACACACACACACACACACTAACCCTACCCCTAACCCTACACACACACACACACACACACACTAACCCGACTGCTAAACCTATATACGTATACGTCAATACGTATCAGTATACGTATTGACATACACTTGAATCTGGCTTTTGAATGCATATTATGCTCGTTTTCTGTGGTTATGATTCTCGAAATCATATTTTGTGTATTCTTGCACATGTTTTCCTAAAGTCCATCATTACTAAAGTATTGCATCAGAAGAAAAGGTTGAAACTTCCTGATCCTGACGTGTTTCTGCATTGAGTTGAAGCTGAATTCATCATCATGATGTCCAGTTATTCTAGTCACTGAACAAACACTCAGTGTCGGCTCAGACTCGCTGAGATTCTCAGATCATCTGATATTCAGGAATAATTGCACAAGAGATCAGGATAAATAAACACACACACACACATGAATGTTATCTGGACGTGAATTCGATCTTTGTACTTTAAACACAGTCTGTCTGTACACAAGCGGAAATAAGTTTCTTCACACACACACACACACACACACACACACACACACACACACACACACACACACACACACACACACACACACACACACACACACACACACACACACACACACACACACAGGCTATTTCAGGCTCAATAGAAGTCTGTTATAATTATGAACTTACATTTTTGTAATAGTTTTTTTTTGTCATTAAACAGAAAGTCTAATCAATTGAATTCATGAAACTTAACAATTTGACCAATCTCTTAAAATGTAATCAAATGAAAATATGACAATTAATTTACAATAAAACTGCATTTTTATTTTTTCAAACAGGCTTTTATTTTGTTTTTCAGTTTCTGTGAGTATTTGACATGATTTTTCTGTGTCTAATGAATATATGTGTCGTTTCCTCATATAGAGACGCGCAGAACAAGCCGATCACACGTTTAGCAGTGTAATAATACAGATGCTGGTTCATGGCTTGTTTTGAATTTGATTCATTTTACAACCCTCCTTTTGATTTTTGTCATTCCAAAATTTGCCAAATTCTGTGTCATTCTATCTAATAGAGATATTAAAATCATCTCATTTGGGATTTTTCTGTCCTATATGGAGTTATTTAGAGCAAAGTGCAGGAGGAGATCAGAAAATAGAGCTGACATTCTCTGCTGGTGACAGTGTGATGTTTCTGTGTTCACACACACACACACACACACACGTACACACACACGTACACACGTACACACACACACACGTACACACACACACACACACCTCAAAACTACAATAATTACTGTTTTCTTGGCACTTATTTATAGGGCCTTAGTATACATGCAATATGTAATCATATATAATTTTTTTTATTAATTACAGCAATTTTTTTATTTTCTAATTTCTAATTTTGGGATAAATTTGTCTGTATATTACATGTGCATGTGTTTTTGTGTGAATTGTGAGTACTCTACTGTCTTCATGTATTGCTGCTACTGCTAATGCAATTAAATTTCCCACGTGGGATCAATAAAGTACCTACACACACACACACACACACACACACACACTGTTTCTCTGTGTTCAGCAGGACTCAGAGCTGGATGAGACTCGAGCAGATTTTCTCCTCATTGTCAGGAGAGTCAAACATGTAAATATAGTAAATATGTCTGATATGTGTTATTCATCGAGTGTGTTTTATCCTTGATCTCAGTGACTGTTCAAAACATTTCATTCTGTGTGTCTTTCACATCTAGAGCCGATTTACACACCTCTTACAGGCAGTGCTGCGTTAGTGTAAATTCATGAGTTTTTGTTTGTTCTATTTTAACTCTAGTTAAAGTTGAAGTCATTTTGTTGTGTGTTTTACAAATTTTTAGTAGACTGGAAACCAGGCTGTAGAATAGAAATGTCAAGTCAAGTCATCCTCATTTATATATCGCTTTAACAATGTAGATTGTTTCAAAGCAGCTTTACAGAGATAAACATATAATTTAAGGTAACAGAGATTGGTTTGGTGTATAGCGGTTCTTGAATAACGTTATTTTCCAGCTAAAGTTAGTTTGGATTGATTCACTTCCGTGATCAAAATGTAACTCTACTCAGATTACTGGGACTGAATGTCCAACATGTTTCTCACAGCTCAGATCTCAGATGTTTGTATGCATGGTTATGATTATGAATATGTAAAGGTCGAGGTGCCTGAGTCTGTTGTAGAGAAAAGGAACATGCATCTGTAGTTTTATTTCTGTGTTATTTGAGACGCTCAGGTGGGCGACGGATCCTGGCGTGTTTGTGTCACAACAAAAGATGAGCTCAGTGTTTTCTGCGGAATTCTATTCTATTTTTACCTTTAAACGAGCGTCTATCTCAAGCTGAGCTCTCTTTAAAGGGTTAGTTCACCCAAAAATGAAAATGATGTCATTAATGACTCTCCCTCATGTCGGTCCAAGCCCGTAAGACCTCCGTTCATCTTCAGAACACAGTTTAAGATATTTTAGATTTAGTCCGAGAGCTTTCTGTCCCTCCATAGAAATAAAGACATCATCAAAGTAGTCCATGTGACATCAGTGGGTTAGTTAGTGTGTGTTGAAGCATCGAAAATACATTTTGCTCCAAAAATAACAAAAACTAGGACTTTATTCAGCATTGTATTCTCTTCCGGTTCTGTTGTGGATCCGCGTTCAGTGCCGCCGCTGACGTAAGACGCTGCTGACGTGTGTCTGGTGTGTGTGTGTGTGTGTGTGTGTGTGTATTCTGGTTCTGTTGTGGATCCGCGTTCAGTGCCGCCTCTGACGTAAGACGCTGCTGACGTGTGTGTGTGTGTGTGTGTGTGTGTGTGTGTATTCTGGTTCTGTTGTGGATCCGCGTTCAGTGCCGCCTCTGACGTAAGACGCTGCTGACGTGTGTCTGGTGTGTGTGTGTGTGTGTGTGTGTGTGTTCTGGTTCTGTTGTGGATCCGCGTTCAGTGCCGCCGCTGACGTAAGACCCTGCTGACGTGTGTCTGGTGTGTGTGTGTGTGTGTGTGTGTGTGTGTGTATTCGGGTTCAAATAAATATGGCTGGGCAAAAAAATGCAAGATGACACACGTCAGCAGCGTCTTACGTCAGCGGCAGCACTGAACGCGGATCCACAACAGAACCGGAACACACACACACACACACACACACACACACACACACACACACACACACACACACCAGACACACGTCAGCAGCGTCTTACGTCAGCGGCGGCACTGAACGCGGATCCACAACAGAACCGGAATACACACACACACACGCACACACACCAGACACACGTCAGCAGCGTCTTACGTCAGCGGCGTCACTGAACGCGGATCCACAACAGAACCAGAATACACACACACACACACCAGACACACGTCAGCAGCGTCTTACGTCAGCAGCGGCACTGAACGCGGATCCACAACAGAACCAGAATACACACACACACACACACACACACCAGACACACGTCAGCAGGGTCTTACGTCAGCGGCGTCACTGAACGCGGATCCACAACAGAACCAGAATACACACACACACACACACACACACCAGACACACGTCAGCAGGGTCTTACGTCAGCGGCGTCACTGAACGCGGATCCACAACAGAACCAGAATACACACACACACACACACACCAGACACACGTCAGCAGCGTCTTACGTCAGCGGCGTCACTGAACGCGGATCCACAACAGAACCAGAATACACACACACACACACACACACACCAGACACACGTCAGCAGGGTCTTACGTCAGCGGCGGCACTGAACGCGGATCCACAACAGAACCAGAATACACACACACACACACACACACACACACACACACACACACACACACCAGACACACGTCAGCAGCGTCTTACGTCAGCGGCGGCACTGAACGCGGATCCCCAACAGAACCAGAATACACACACACACACACACACACACCAGACACACGTCGGCAGCGTCTTACGTCAGCGGCGGCACTGAACGCGGATCCACAACAGAACCGGAATACACACACACACACACACACCAGACACACGTCAGCAGCGTCTTACGTCAGCGGCGGCACTGAACGCGGATCCACAACAGAACCAGAATACACACACACACACACACCAGACACACGTCAGCAGCGTCTTACGTCAGCAGCGGCACTGAACGCGGATCCACAACAGAACCAGAATACACACACACACACACACACCAGACACACGTCAGCAGCGTCTTACGTCAGCGGCGGCACTGAACGCGGA